GGAAAGAAGGAAGGGTGGAAACAAGGCATAACGCCCATTACTATCATTGCAAATTATTTATCTGAGTACTTTGGTCAACAAGAATTAATTCTGTGGTTGTTAAACCTCACAAAACATTTATTCCAGCAATGCGGGAATAAAGTTTTAGTAATGCCAAGACAGAAATGCGTTGGGGGCAGGGAGAGAACCCTAAATGAAACTAGTAATCCACATATTGAAAATAGTCCAAATGTAATTATTGTGATGGAAGGGATGGTTCAAAAACTGTACAAATGTTATCATTCAGGCACAACTGGCTTGTGCTATTTATGTGACATATATTCTGGGCTAGCTCTGTGTGTGTGTGTGTGTTCTTCTGTAGCCATTTACGGGCAGAGGTAACCTTTGATTAAGAAGGTTATTCTGTAGGAGCAGGGATACCTCGAGAGCAAATACTCTAAATAAATAATTACAAGGCAAGGAATCCCCGCCTGTAATAAATGTCAAGTCTAAAAAGGCCAAGATAACATATATAAGGTGAGATCAGCTGCACAGAGGTATCCAGGATAAGGGGCCACGTGTAGAGTAGCCCAAAAGTCTGTGCTTCTCACACACAAATGGATGACCTCACTCCCTGTCCAGTTTCTTGGCATGTTCATTTGCTTTCAGTACATTTGTACCTAGATCTCTTTTTTACCAGCAAAAGGTGTGAACGTCTTACTCTGAAATGTATGCGTTGTATGCAGAACACATGTAAACACACACGGATCAGCATGCACGCACGCACGCACGCACACACACACACACACACGACTATGGTTACAGCAACGGTTGCCCTCTTCAGCCTCAAGGTACATGAATGAATGCAGCCCGGTATTACAGACACAAAATTAGACTGAGGACACAGTGTAAACAGTGTGTTTGTGTGGCGGGTGTCTGGAGGAGGGAGGCAGTTCTTATGACTCTGTCCATGAATAATAACAAACTTTTCCACGAGAGAGTGCAAGCCAATTCAACACATGAACGGGAGGCGAACACATTTGACCTGGGGCAACTTTGGATGCATATTTAAAGCCAACCAGACACAACCTGCATTTATGAATAGGCAGTTTTCTACACCTAGGCAACAGACTGGGTGAGAATTTGTGAAGGCTTTTTATTTTTATTTTTTTCTTTTTTGGCTGCTGTTGCGTTAACGTCTCAGCTGATCACTCTGTCATTAACGTCTAACAAAATCCTCTGTGTGTGTGTGTGTGTGTGTGTGTGTGTTTCTGTCTCTCTCTCTCTTGAAACAAACAGATAATTAAACAAATGAGTCTGGATTTGCATTCCAGAGCATGCTACAAAAATGAGAATCTGACAGCATCTTACTGGAGAGAGGGAGGGAGGGAGAGAGGGAGGGAGGGAGAGAGAGAGAGAGAGCGAGGACTCAATGATAGCTCTTGTTTCCTTTCAGCAATTAGTGGGGATACAAAACACATGTGTTGAGTGTGCATTTTTGGAGCTTTTCTCCAAATCAGTTCATCAATTCGCTAATTACAGCTGAGAGAGAGGGAGAATTCTAACGAGACATATTTTTCTCCTTTAACATCCGTGTGGGGGTAAAATCCGAGGTAAAAACAAAAAGGGAAAACAGCTTTTGAGTGAGGGGATGTTATTGTAGCTTTCTGTGGACTCTTTAACTCCAGGGGGGCAAGAAGGGGAGGAAGACCCAACTGCTATTCAAGAACTACTCGAGGACTTGTGCATATTTTCACTGCTGTGGAGCAGTTTTAATAAAACATCTGTTCTTGCTTCTGCTGATGAGTTTACATAATTGTTTGCAGACCAATTTAACCAGAAAGAGTCCTACCAATTTCCTTGTACATGTTTGTAGGAGAGGTGGAAAAGGGGAGAAGGAGAGAGGAGATGCCTTCTTGGACCAAATGCATTCTAGGAATCTTAAAAATGATTTTATTAAAATACTCATCATCACCATCATCTCAAGTCTCAATATGAAATCCATTACATCAAAAATGTTCAGCAGAGGGATATCACTAATAAAACCCTAACCCCTGCCTAAATTTACTGGCGATTCACCTAACCAAATGTTGAGAAAGGGTCGATGCTAAGTTTCTTTGCGCCAGCTGTTTTCCCTTCCCTATAATTTGACCAGACTTTTAGGAATTCTCTTCTGTTTAGAAAAGTAATAAAACACTCCATTTTCTCCACCCCAAATCACTGGGCACTTACACAGGTCTCCCCAAAACATCCTTTTAGGACCTATATAACACATTCCTTTCGCATCCCAACCCCATTTTATATCTGTAATCAACTCATCTTACAACTTTTAAGGGTCTAAGTTTAGAATTATTAGAAAAATGATATAAAGATGCTATCTTCAATGAATCAAACCAGTCAAGAAAGATGAGATTGGAGGCGTGCTGAAGTTCTGTTAGCTTTAATGGAATCCTTATTTACACTGGAGTACTTTATTAAAAAAACAAACAAACAGAAACATTGCTATGCAGTCTAAATACAAACATGCACTGGGCTGAGAATTCATGATCAAAAGAACTCTAACACCCATTGAAGAAGAAGAAGCAGAGGAGGAGGAGGAGGCAGAGGAGGAGGGAGAAATCTCCCTTTAATCAGTTCAGGTTAATTGTGCATTAAAAACAACAGCAGCAACCCCCACTTTTTTTAAAAGCACTGCAATGGATATCACTACTTTTTCAGAGTAATTTGCGCTTAAAGGAGCATCGCTAGTTTTTATATGTCTATTTGTATCTCTGTTTATCTGCCAACCTACCTATGTTCCTATATGAAGAGGCATATTAGATGCAGCGTTATGTACATCTCTAAGTGAGTGAGTGTGTGAGTGTGTGAGTGACTGAGTGACTGACTGACTGACTGAGTGTGTGTGTGTGTGTGTGTGTGTGTGTGAGAGAGAGAGAGAGAGAGAGAGAGAGAGAGAGAGAGAGAGAGAGAGAGAGAGAGAGAGAGAGATTGAGGAGAGTAACATTTTGGTGCTTTCTCCACCTCCACCTAAACACTCCTCTTCTTCCTGTGACTGTATATCCATGTGGTGTCTATAGATTGCCAGGGGTATATAATGTGGTAAAGATCTGAGAAATGGAAGGAAGCAAAGCAAAAGTTATTTTTCATAAAGTGTCTATACCATATGTCCTATACCTTAAATGTATTACAAGTTTAGTTGTCAGCTACTGTATGCTGCTTTGAATAGGGAGCCACGCATGTCATGCCACACGGCCTCTTACTATCTTCTTATGATCCCTCATTTATTTATTTATTTAAGCCGGAAACTTAATTTTTTTTCCCATACTGACACTCAAAGGTTGCTTAATGTGATGCAAGATGAATACCTCAGTCCTTTTTTTGTCAGTCTTAGTCTCGTTTATGGTTTTATTACTACCACTGATTACTTTGCTTTGTTGCACAGAGGAAAAAGATCATAAAATCCTTTGGCATCCGGGTTCCTGTTAGAGCAGGGAGTTGCGGGGGGGGGGTGCTCCCCTTCTTTCTTAACCCAAAGCTTTTAGAGAGACTTAATCTAAAAGAGGGATTTTAGAAGTATTGGTTCATAAGAAGCAAACATCATGAGAAATATTCCAGGCTTTCCAGATATTGGTCTGATTTCATTTTATGGATCATTCCACACACATTTTACCTTGAAAATAACCAAACAAAAGCCCCCCAACATGTACATGGAAATAAGGCCAAGGTTTTCCAGCCCTAATTGGATTTTTAAATAGCAAGTCAATGAAATGATGAAGGAACCTTGCTATATTTACAGATCAGCAGGTATATTTTACATTTAAGGAACAATTTATGGTACTGGATTGAAATTAAAATTAGATTAGCTGTCTTCATTTCAATTAGTGTGTCGGTGCAAATCCACCAGAGGAGTAGAATATAATCCACTCTCTAATCTAACTAAATATTTCAAGGGGAAGTTTTCTAATCAGCTACAGATATCTGGAGCCATAAATTTTTCTCCTCCCCCCTGCTTTTTTCTTTTGCAAACATAAACACGAGCTGTTCTTTCCAGCAATCACCCTTCCGAATGGAAAGGCAATGCTGTGAGAGTTGTTGAGGCTGCACATGTAAACATGACCCTACCAGTCTCAGACTCTGAAAAAGTACAGAGCAAATATTGCAAAAGAAATGTTCAAATACGCTCAAAGAAAAGATTTAAGGCAGACTTTGAATTTGTTAGGGATTTTTAAAGGTTTTTTTTTTAAATCCCTCAAAGTTCTTCAAATTCCTGAGTAAAGGAATGCTCTAAAAGATACAGTATCTGTCCAGCTGTCATCTTGTTTCACTTCCTTGCTTTCAAAATTGTCTTATAAAGAACACAAGCACTTGATTCCACATTTATTGACCAACAGTAAATTAGTAGAGAGAAAGAGAATTTATGGCTTAATATTTTATGCACACTTGAGATTTACGACTATAATTTCTGAGCTATTTGGTTGTTAGATATTATTAAGCAAGCATTTTCAAAAGAGTACAGATCCTGAGTCCTGCTTTCCATACCTACGCTCATTTTTTTCCTTTTCCCTTTTTCCAGTCCTTTTCCTCTTTTTAAATTAAAGCTCTGTTTGGACTGTGATTGTTTTTTATTAAGTCTCTTGCTTGCTTGCCTGCCTGCTTGCTTGCTTGCCTGCTTGCCTGCTTGCTTCCTTGCTTTCTGTGCCCCTCCCTCTTCATCCCTCTCCCACCCCTCCCCCGAACCATACTTACTATTTTCCCCTCTTCTTCTAAACCATCTTATATTTAGAATTTCGAGACTTACTTTCAATGCATACTTAGTTTCAACTGGGGAATCAACACAAGCAAAAGCAATTTTTCCGTGTCTTGACATCTAGCTTCCTATTGGCTCACAATGGGTCAGCTGACTTTGTCATTTTGTCTGTCCTGGAGTGGAGCCGTCCCTATAACAATCTAGTTCAGACTACAAACTGGAGACAGAAATAAATATTAAAGAAATCATACAGGCCAGGTATAGGGGGGAAGATATGAATTCCTATTTCACAAACCCGTCGCTCTCTTGCCACCTCACCAGTGGTCAAGAGGTACTGCCCAACGTGGCTCTCAATTCCACTGCCTATGACCCTGTAAGGCATTTTTCAACTTATGGAGCAGCGGTTGCTCAAAACAGGATCTATTCATCTCCTTTTTATTCACCGCAAGATAATGTTGTGTTTAGCTCCAGTCGGGGACCATATGATTACGGATCTAATGCCTTTTATCAAGAAAAAGACATGCTCTCTAGCTGCAGGCAAAATTCTATGGGACACAATACACAAACTTCCATTGCACAGGATTTTACAAGTGACCAAAACAGGAGCACATCCCAGGAACAGAAAACTAGCATTCAGATATACCCGTGGATGCAGCGCATGAACTCCCACAGTGGTAAGTTTTACAGCTTGCAGAGATAAATTAAATAAACTGAACCATCTTTACGACCGTCTCCCTAGCAGAACAGGCTCAGCTACTTTTTATGGCCCCATAAAAACAATAATAGAGCTTCCTCACAGTTGCCGCTACAGGCCTTTTATTTGTTAAGTTGTTGCAAGCAAATATGGCTTGTTATGCTCTTTCTAATTAAAAGACTTCGAGAGTGTAAAATATCTATAATAAAGTGCATTCAGCTCTGATTTTTGCCCTCCCCCCCGCCTTTGGATGGGGTGATGATGGGAGTAAGGTATAGAAAATAGAACTGGGGTAATTTGATTTTATTTTTTAAACTGAAGATTCCCTGATAGGTGAGAAAGAGCATTTTTATGAAGAGGGAAATGCAAAGTGTCTTGTCCAATAGCAGGTTTGGAGATGGGGATTTATGAAGTAGCTTGACTTCATCATGTATTGGAAGGGGTGCCTCTTCCTAGTAATTAAAGCAACATCGGAGGAAGATCTAATTGGATTTTTTTAAAGTTTGCAGAAATAATTAAAACAACACATTTTGAATCTTTTCGAATAAGAGAGGAACATGCTTTCAATTAGGCGGCCCCCCTTCCTTGCCCCCTCCCTCCATGTGTGCTGCGCGATTTTAATGGGCAGCAAGAGGAAGAACAGAATGAAATTGCCTGTGCGGAGGGTGACAATAAAGGCACGGGCACAGAGGGTGGGGCTGGGGGGTCCTGGCCGAGGGGCTTCGTTTCTGCTTGCTTATGGATGCATGTGCTGCTTTCTTGAACGACGACGAACCAAGAGAATCTGTAGCTAATCGTTTTTAGTTTGTTTGGTTTCCGAATCCATAGGGGTCGGCTATGGAGCAGATCGGAGGAGGGGGCGTCAGATCTACTCCCGTTACCAGACCCTGGAACTGGAGAAGGAGTTCCATTTCAATCGCTACCTGACACGGCGGAGAAGAATCGAGATCGCCAACGCGCTTTGCCTAACGGAGCGCCAGATCAAGATCTGGTTCCAAAACAGGAGGATGAAATGGAAAAAGGAGAGCAATCTGAGTTCCACCCTGTCTGGAGGGGGTGGCGCTGGAGCAGCTGCCGATAGCTTGGGTGCAAAGGAGGAGAAAAGAGAAGAAACAGAGGAGGAAAAACCAAAGGAATGAACACTGACGGCTTCGCCAGCTCCTTCCCCCTCCCTCCTCACAACACACACGGTCCCCCCTTTCTTTCCTCCCCCACCCCCATTTCTCTTCGCCCTCCTTTCCATTTTCTATTACCACTGGCACAATTTATACATTTGGTTACATTTAAAAGGAGAAGGAGAGAGTGAGAATGAGTGAGAGAGAGAGAGAGAGAGAGAGAGGTGGACGTGGAAGACCTCCCCTCCCCCATCTCCCGGTCTCCAGCACTGATGCACCCAGTTCAGAACCAGGTCCCAAACCGTCTTTACTTCCTCCCTAAGGAGCCCTCCGCCGCCTCACCTCCAGCCCCACCCACCCTTCCTCTCCGCATCCGAGCCCGGCTATCCACCTTTGCATAGAGACTGAGCTGAGCGCAACGACAGCAGGCACCCACCCTCCCACCCGCCCGCCGCCACCCAGCCCAGCCTCAGCACCAGCCCCTCTTCTGGGGGAGAATCTCGCCTGCTAAAGGCAGAGCCCCGCTCAGGGGCTGCTCCGGGTTCGGCTGGGTCGGGTCGGGTCGGGATCAGCCTTGTCCAAACGAACTCGACCCGGCTCCCCTTCCCAGTGATGATGGTGAGGTTGTTGATAAGAAGGATGACAAAAAAGACCGCTGAATTGCCTACCCCTGTGAAAATATTTCCCCCCATGCCCCTTTCCCACACCTCCAAGCGATGTCTACCTAAATATAGCATTTTCCAGAGTAAACTAATTGTATTTAAACACTACCTGGGGTCATTATGCATACTACAAACTGTGACAGGTCCTGTGTGAATATTTTTAGCTGTATTTGTGGTCTCTGTATTTATATTTATGTTTAGCACTGTAATGTTCAAACAGTATAAAGTGAATGGAATTCTATAGCAAGTAGGAGATTAAAAATAAATCTTGTGTTACACCCTCTAACATCATGTATAAAGGTCACGTCCAGAGGACTATGGTTGAGTATTTAATAAAAACTGGATATTATTTTTAAAATTTACTGAATGTTTTCTGAAATTCAATGGGGATGACCTCAAGTGGAAGAGTTTTGCACAAGACTCCATGGATTCTGTGTATGTGGACATTGCTTTTCTTTTCTTGACCGCCTCTCAGTATGACCTTTACAAAACAGTAACCAGAGTAGTGGACAGCAATAATAATCTACTTCCAGCTAGGTATGTTTAGGATCATTTTCACAATTGTCTTCCCACTGTTGCATTTGAACACGCACACACACGCACACGACACCACTTCGTTGCATCTCCCTTCTCCTCACCATACCATAAAAAGGGCATAAAATCCCCCTTTCCATTTCTTTCGGTCTTAAAAAGCACAATCAGAATTGTTTTCTTTCATAGTTTTGGAGATCCAATAATTGCTTAAGACGTTTTTCTTAAATTTCTTTATAAAATTGTGGCAGGCAAAGTAACAAACAGAGTGGAGGCGAGGGAAAAAATTTTTGGGTAGGAGCGCAGGAAGCGCCACTGACAACAGCTCCCTGCTCTGTAATGCGCTCATCATCCTTGCGGCTTTAGACTCAGGAATGGCTTTATGTTTAGTCCAGAGGCATCTTCCAGCGAGATATAAATGCCTGGGAGCGAAATCCTGGAATCTGGGTGCATGCAGCTGCTTGGGAGCCCTAGGTTCCCCTTTAACATTTTGTATTAAACCTTGGGGTTCCAACTGAACAAAACAAAAGACTCTTTGCATTACTGGATGCAAAGCTTAGCTGATTTCTTATCTCTGCTTGCCCATTCTCTTTGAAAGGGTTGTATCTGTATGTCCTTCAAGCCTAAGACATTTCCTAGAGAAATCGCCAGCATTTTAAACGCAAATATACAATATAGAGAAAATAAATCTGTACGACAACATGTTAAAAAGATCTAATCCAATATTTCTAAATAGCCCCCTCCCCCAAGTGAGTGAAACTTTAAAGTAAATGTCTAATATAAACAAAAGAAGCTAGGAGGACTTTTAAAAGTGTCCACTGAATTAAAATTAGGGTGGTGGAAGCCACTAAACCAGGACAGGAAGATCACATCAGTTGAATTGGTAGGAAGGGAAAAACGGTATTTAGGAACCGCACAGTTCTTCCGGTGTTGATGATGTTTTTAAAAATGCTTAGTAAAGGACAAGGAACCTCTTTTGTGTTTCCAACTGTTTCCCTAAACACCTAGGAAAAACTGGATTTATTTCTTAAGAGATTCCCAGAGAGATAACCTCACGTTTAGAAATAGTAAATTGCACTGAACCAATTGAGGATTGGTCCATACCTTTACCTGCGAGTCCCCCCCTCCACGCCCCACAAGGCCTTTTAAAGAAGCTTTGCATAGGTCGACATACATACATACATATCTAGAACAAAAAAACAAGGTGAATGTTTATACATTCCCCCAAGATGCACAGATGATATATGGGAAAGCCAACTTGATTTACAGCCTTCTCTGGGTACACACACACAAACACACAGATGATCAACTCTGAAAGATGCTGCATTCAAAACATACAGAGACATATACAAAGAACAAGAGACTGTTATAACATAGGATTACATCTGCTTCTCAGGTCTGAGCTTTTCCCTGCCACTTAATACAGCTTCTGTGTCAATACAGCAGTAGATGGATGGATGTACATAAAATACATGATCTGAGGGTACATACAGAACACAAGAAGTTTATTGCTTGCAACATAACCCAGATATACGTACATATCGGATTCCCTGATAAACTCAGGGTAACCCAAGAGAATCCGAATTCTGCACGTGGTCACCTTGCTTGGCTCACTACAGATGTGATACCTCTGAGCACATTCATGGAGGGCGTGGGTGCTGCACTAAACCCGCCCGACAGACTTTTGTCGAGCTGATCAGCACACATGTATTCACATGTAAAGGCATAACCCTTCTTCGTGGAACCTCTCCTTACACACAAGGAGGTATTATTACACGGGTGCGATTCTCAATGCCATGTCTTGCATCAACTCTGATCAAAGGCAGAAAATTTCCTATGCGTTTCCTTGGACGGGAAATTAGCTCTTGTTTTGCAGCCTTGCGAAGGCTTCGGGGCGTTTGTACGTGTTGTTTCACACCCAGAAGCCTCGGCCGTTAGGAGAGGGGTAGTATTTTCTGAGACGTCATACCCCAAACCCAGCACCAGGTGACGCTATAGTCTCATTGTCTCGGTGTTTTGAGTGTGGGGCCTTTTTTTTTCCTTTTTTTTTCCTTTTCCTTTTTTTTTTTCTTTTTTGGTTTCGTTATGCCAACATATCACATACGTTTCATGGGCTTCCATCAATAACCTCCTGGGGTCATCAAGCCAAATTTATGACTGGCCAACACCGTCACGTGATTCTATTTAAACATCCCATATTTGGGCAGCGCACATAGAATAAAGAAAAGAAGAATCTCCACCTATAAATTCTGCACTTTAGAGAACAAAAAACCCTGAACTTCAAAAGGGCCACAAATCAACCCTAATCAAAGGGGTGTGAGAGAGAGGGAGAGAGAGAGAGGGAGAGAGAGACTGGGGTGGGGGGGGAAATATAATTCCTGACATGAGTTCCTACGTAGCCAATTCCTTCTATAAGCAAAATCAAAATGTTCCTGCCTATTCCATGCAAAGTTATGGGAATTATGGATCTGTGTCTGAGGTTCAGCCGTCCAGGTATTGCTACAGTGGGCTGGATCTGAGCATTACATTCCCTTCTTCTGGGGCTTCCAACTCTCTGAACGGTGTGGACATGTCTTCAACCCCCAGATCTAACCCCGACCGACCTTCTTGTAAAGTCATGGGATCTTCAGGGCACACTTTAGGCAGAGACGACCAGACTCCTCTTAACCCAGGAATTTACAGTCAGAAAGCTGGTGGCAACCCCACCACCACCTCCACCACCTCCACCACCACGCCGCTGGAAGATAGATCTAAGACCAGTGGGGAAATCAAGAGTGAGCCGGTGCAAACAGCCCAGCAAGGCGGGCAGTCAATGCAGCCGCACCAGCGCCAGCAGCAACAGCTCCAGCAGCCACCACAAATATATCCGTGGATGACCAAACTACACATGAGCCACGGTAAACTTTCGCTTCTCGATTTTGTTTCACAGGATTTGCCTTGGTTTTATAGGCCATACGGGGCAAATAATAAGGGGGGAAAAAAACCTGGGGTCGTAAATTTTACGACTAAGGCATCAATTGCTCGTAAAACTGTCCACTAAAAGGCTTAGAGGCTATATACGCCCAAATTTATGACGGCATAATTGGATCATAGAAACAAAACGGGTATAAAGGCAATATTCCATTTTTTGGGGGGCGCAGTAGGGGAGAAGGAAAGATTTTAAGGGGGAGAAAGGAGAAAGAACTTGAAAACATGCACAATCTTTAATAGGAAGGAAAGAGGCTTATGGCTTTTGCAAACCTTTCCACATCATTCTTTAAGCCATGCCTTTGCCTGCTTCCTAATCTGGGAAATGGATGAATGAATAGAATTTCCCTTCTTAGACACACTTTCTCATGGTTTGAGTGGAAATCACTTCCTTAGCGATAACCTTGGCTTGAGCTCAAAACTTTAATGAGAAAGTGTTGGAAATTTCACACCCTGATTTTCCATTACATATAAAATACTATCCTGGGGTGGAATCCCCTCTCCAGCCCCCCTTTTCGCTCTTCATACATTTTGTTTTCCTCTTCCCTGAAATACATTATTATTACTGATACTATCACTATTATTATTAGGCTTTTTATTCGGTGTCTTTTATTTTCCAGAAGCAGATGGCAAACGTTCCAGAACCAGCTACACTCGTTACCAAACTCTGGAACTAGAAAAAGAATTTCATTTTAACAGATATCTCACCCGCCGGAGGCGCATAGAGATCGCCAACAACCTGTGTTTGAATGAGAGGCAAATCAAAATCTGGTTTCAGAACCGGAGGATGAAATGGAAGAAAGATTCCAAACTGAAAAGCAAAGAGTCTCTCTAGGTAGAAGTCTGGGTGGCGATGGGGTGGGG